CATCTGGATCAGATTACATGCTGTGAGTGTCATCACTGCATAAACCTGCCACACAGCATTTAGATTTAAAGCTGCCACTGACATGGATGAGCAGAGCAACGATCAGGCCGGGCTGAATGGACAGCTGTGAAAGCACAGGTCAGCTGACTGTCCACAACTCTGATTTACTTTGAACCAACATTTGTTTACAGTCCAAGCTAATCCTGAGGAACAAGAGGGATCTGATGTGAGGTGTGTGAGGACGTCCAGCGGGGAAGCATGACTGTCTGCACACTGAGGACTTATTGAACCACAAAGGGTCTTAACAGGGCCGTGGCCTCAGCAGCAGGTGAGTCGGTATCATTAAAAAAACACCAAAACTGACATCACGTTCGTGACATCATGCCGTCATTGCTGACGGATTCTGACGGTTTCAGACAAGACCTCTTCACCCAGTTCCATGATCGACTCGTCTGGACCCAACATCGGTTCAGACCAAGAGTCCAGGAGCCAGATTTTTACCACAAAATGTCAGGAGGGGTGAATTTGGGATAAATCAGTCTGAAACTCTTTGTAATCTTTCACTTACAAGACAAAGGTGAAGGAGTTTACAAAAACTGCATGCAGACATTTGTCTCTTCCAGATCAGTGCGAGCAGATGCAGACGACCAGTGCAGTTACCGTGTTGATGCTGTGGCTGATAACACTGCTGCTGTGGGTAGCTCTGCCTCCGTTAATGGTACAGATGGGCAGTTTCATGGCTTTAAATCTTCATGTCTGAATTCACAAATGAGCTGATAATACCTAAAAGTTCAACCAAGAGATTTTGGCAGTTCTATCCTCCAGCTGTTTACACTCCTCGACCAGCAAGCTAATCACATTTAATTATCATTTATGAGCCATTGTGTAATTAATATTTTTCACTGCTGCATGGAAATCACAAAACTAAGCTTCTAAGCTTCATCATCAGCATAATGACGCATCCAGACAGAGCGCCACGCTCCTCATCTCAGTGCTCTCCACATCTGAAAATCCTCCCGACAGTCTTCATCTCACCTCTCCTAGTTCCTTTCTTTCCTTGGCTCCTGTTGTCAAAACCACAGCTTCGAGGACGGTCTCTGGATGCTCTGTGTGTTACTTTAAAATGTGCTGGTTGCTCTGCTCCTCCTACACTCCTGTAGAGCCTTGTTGATGGTGTACTGAGCAGCAAATCACACTGAGGTCAGACACGATGCTGCTTCAATGCCAGCGATCTCTTCCTCTTCTTTTGTCCCCCACATTGCTCTCATACCCTAATCTTATACCTCCTTTCCTTGCTTCCTTCCTTCCTTCCTTAAATATGTGCGTTAGACTCGTCTGTCTATGGGGTGAGGGGATCTCGCTTGTCTTTCTATCTTCTTGCCTCCTACCTCAAAAATGTCACTTAGTCATTGTTAGCAGGGATCAGGCTGGAGAGGAAAAAGCAAAATGTGAGAAAAGTGGAAAAGGAAGAAGATAAGGGAGATGGAGAGGAGAGGAGAGGAGAGGAGAGGAGAAGGAAAGAGATGGAAATAAAGGAGATGAACTAAGACTGCCAATGAGGAAAGGGAATGAAGAGAGGACATGAGGAGAAGGGAGCTCGTTGAAGACAAGAGAGAAGAGAGGTGAGGAAAAGGAAGGAAGGAGAGGAGATGATAAGAGGATGGAAGCAAGAAGACAAAAGAGATAAAAGAAAGAGGAAGAGGAGAGGGAGAGGAGATGTGAGGAGAGGAGACAGAAGGAAGCTGAGGAGAAGAGAAGCAAAGAAAAGAAACGAGAGGATGAATGCAAATGAGATGAGGAAAATGGGAGGAGACGAAAAAAGGAGAAAGTGGAGTAGAGAGGGAGAGGAGGCAAAGAAAGTAAAAGCAGAGGAGGAGAGGAGATCGGGCCTGTCTGACCTTCTGGCTGTTAGCATCTTGCTCAGTTGGTTTATTTAAATAGTTTCACACACACACACACACACACACACACACACACACACACACAGTATGCATACACACTCACTTGAGTCGCCGTCCCCATGGCAACGGCACACCTCTAGCACCCTTGTAATCAACTTTGAAAATAGAAGTGTTGTGTTGGTATGCATGTAACACACACACACCACAAACAAACAAACACACACACACATCAGGAGTGTAATCACAATTAAAATCAAAATAAGTTGTGTCGTCCCTCTGTGGAGGAGGAGGAGGAGGAGGAGGAGGAGGTGGAGGAGGAAGATGAGGAGCAGGAGGTGGAGGAGGAAGATGAGGAGGATGAGGAGGAGGAGGAGGAGGTGGAGGATGAGGAGGATGAGGAGGATGAGGATGAGGAGAAGGATGAAGACGATGAGGAGGAGGAGGAGGAAGAGGAGGAGGATGAGCAGGAGGATGAGGAGGAGGAGGAGGAGGAGGA